AGTCGGACCTAAGTTGTGAGAGTTTTTGTTGACCCCATTTCCAACCGTAGACTTCGGTCTGACCAATGTGGGACAATGATTCCAACCACTTGGTACATCTGAAGCCTCTCTTCTGTCATGGAACTCGGAAAACTCGGGTCAGATCTGCCCTGAGGCAACTGTCCCGATGGGAAGGACAAAATAATAAATATACAGGGTGGGGCAAAAGTTACTATACAGTTCTTGTATACTGGAAATAGCTGTTTTGCTAATTTGGTCCTCTTTGTTTCAGAGTAATACTGTTGGATGAAGCTGGAAGCTTTTGAAATTACGTTGCATTATTTTCCTGTTATTTGTACACAGCGGACAATATGACGTTAGAAATCAAACTATGTTCTATATTCAACGACTGCATGGCGACTTTGGCCCACTGTATATGTCTCGATTTCTTCTACCTCTGTGTTGAAGTTTGTGCTGCTAGACTTTTCATGCCGTATTACGGTGGAACGAGGATGATACATTGCTTGCAAATACGAGGTACCATTGCAACGGAAAACAGGACACTGTTTTGAGGTACAAGCGAGATCGTAAAGCTCAAACACTTTACTACTACGTCATCCTCAATGAACTTCTCTATTGTGGGGAGGAAGAACCCATAAAGTTTGGAATTGAAAACGTTCGGAGGAAGTACCGCCAGTGTATAGTGGGTGCCAGGAAGCAGGGAGTTTCAACTTCATAAGACGGAGAGTGGACGGTAGAGGAATCAGCCTTAGTTTTTCCAACTGCGGAAGAATACCTTTTATCACCTCAAATATTAAAGCGACGACGAAAGGGACGAACTGAATCACGAATGACATCGATCTGTGGTTGGCGTCTAACAGTTTCAATTTGTTTTCATTAAAAGCGTACGGACAAGCGTCAACAGTTGTTGGAACACAATCTGACTAAAGTTGAACAGAAAAGAAATTGAAGCGCCAGCAACTGCAACAAAACTGTGACCATGATAGAACGATAAATGAAGTGCAACTGAACGGCCGCTTCGAAATCAACCAACGTTTAGACTATGCCATTCGTCTAAAACGACCACGTAACTGGAGACCTAAAGAGTGGCTGCTACAGGACGACAATGTTCCCACCCACACATCTGTCAGTGTGGCGACTTACCTCTTCAAGCACAAGGTGAATGTCCATCCTCAACCCGCGTACTCACCAGGTCTGGCCACGTGCGACTTTTTTCTCTTCCCACGCCTGAATTTTCAGCTGCAAATTCAGGTGACGTCGTTTTGATGATGTTGAGGAGGTACCTATCAGCTACCGCGACGGCAGCACTGAAGGTGATCGCAAAAAAATGATCTGCAGCCGTTTCACGCCATCACGGTGAAAAGGATGCGACTTCTCAAGGGAACTAGTACGAAGGACATCATAACCTTGTACTTCAGGCTTAGCAAGTTTTTCCCGAAAAAAATGTGTTCCGGAACTTTTTAACGGATACAGAGCCCTGCCATAATAAATTAATTAGCCACCCCCAAGATTGAATATATCTTACCTAACCATTCGTATTTCAGGTGCGATTAGATTTAAATAGGGCGTCTAAGTTGTAAGTGGGTGGATAATCAATGCATACTATCACCATGCCAAAAACAGGCAGATCCCGCGATACTTCTCGTTTTCCCTAGTAAACCTTATTGCCCATACCCTTTGAGGGTGACATTACGTACATGCCACATATCTCGTGTGACTAGAGACTAGAAGAGGGATCAAGGCATTCAGCTTCTTCCCTGGGTACCCCTAGGCCCAGATATGAATCCGATCTAGCATCTGGATCCTCAGCTGAGAACAACCCGTTCAAGTTCCACCAACATCGTGGAATTAGAGGAAACCCTTCCACAGATATGGGTGTACCTGGACCAAAATCTCATCGATTCGAGGCCAAACAGGGTAGATGCTCTTTGTGCTGCAAAATGGGGCTTGACCAAGTACCAAAATAAATATTCACACACCATTGCTTGTCTTTATTTGTCTTTTCTTTCATCGAATAAATATAAAACAACAGGTGGCCAAATTATTATGGCAGGGCTCTGTATCTTTTCCAATCCTTCGGTAAACTTATTAGAAATGCAGTGACACAAGCCACACTCAATCTGTGTGAGGGGTATGCATTTGACACTTACAGCAAGTCACATTCTACTGTTTCCTTTTATAGTGCTTTTAACTTAATGTTCCTAGAAAAAACCACTGCAGTAAAACTTATTTTTCCAAAAGAAAAATTTTCTCAACCAGCTGAAAACTCAGTTCTACTTGAACATATGTGGTTAGTACTGGATATGTACTGTACTACAGTATATCTGTATAATTGGAGAACTAGAGAGCAGACTAGACAAACTGACAGGTGGCCAGCATTAGATACCATAGTTTGCCTTGCAGTCCTTCAATTAAACACTTACATGCAAGATCATAATTTGTAGGAAGCAATTAAATTAAAAGGAATGGAAAATCTCAAGCTCCTACCATGTGGCCTGTGAAGTGAATGTCTTGATGTTTGTCGATGTAATATTACGAAGTCTAATTCCAATGCGAAATGCCATTGCTTAAAAACTTTTGCCTGGATTCTTATTTAAAGGTCTCAGATAACCATCAACATCTGGAATAAAAGGATGAGGAAAAGGAAAAAGCACTCTCCAATTGCTGACTACAACATAGACCATATCAACCATAACATTCATATGGAAGATAAAGAAGGATAAACTAATTTTGCATCTCAAGGCCTCTTAATGACAGGCCATGGTTCAATGCTTCCTCATACATATTAGCATGAGGAAATGCATAGTCCATGCATGAATTTCAGAGAAATCACAAGCTATAAAAAATAAACTGACCAAGAAAAAGAAGAAATGAGCAACAGCTGAAAGCAGACTTTATTCAGATCCTTTGGTAATATAGGTAGTAATACTTTGCTGATACCCATTCTAAAGCTTTACTTATTAGATCAAGGAAACTGATGACTTGTATCAAAAGCATATCAGTATAGTGAATACTGATATGCTGCAATATCCTCAACTGGATAATAAGAAATTTGACAAAGGCTTTGACTAGATCATTCCCAAGATTCAGAATATGAATTCAGATATAGTTGTAATGCACAAAAATCCCAGGCATTTTCCTGTCTAATACCTGGAACTCATCCACACAAGCAGCGAACACTAAAGGCTCAATTGTTCCTGTCTGACAGAGGCTAGGAAAGAAAACTTCATGAAAAAGGAAGCTGTAGCTGTAGTATATTACATTAGGAGAAGAGATGGCTATTATTCATTGGGGTGTGATCTCTGAGGTTCTTTTTCAGCAGAAAAATCTAGAAGTTAAACTTTTATTGGAAAAGTAAACCTCAAGGTGTTTTCAAACAAACCATGAGACTCCATATCTGATGGATCATACCTGATGTTGATCTATTCTCCAAATGGAATACATAGGATGTCCAGAAATTATATTATCTTAATTTAAATAAACCCTTTCACATACAAGAGTCATACATCTGGCTGTCTCATGACAGTGATGACTTAGAGAGTACAACAGCTTGTGTAACAACTTGTGCAACCTTGATTAAACTCACTGCATCACAAGAATAGATGGCAAAGCTGAGAGCAAATATGCAGTTAGTTTAGACTGGCTTTGGGGTTATGACTTTTAGTGTCTGCATAATTGAATTTAAAAATGAAATCATTTACTACCAAAAGATATGGAAGCAAATTGGTTAAATGCTCAAGGAAATGCATAGACTTGCATAGTGCTCATGTCAAGGCCTACTGACTTTGTTAGTTGATTGATGCTGAGGTTCTTTCACAGGTACCCCAACATCTTACTTGATTTTCCTCTAACATGCATGATGCACATACATGCATTGAATAATATGTTGTGCAAGATTGAATGATATACACCACTGGTAATATGATTTCTGGACACCTTGCAGTATAGGGGTGTTGACTCCAAGAAAGCAAAACTCTGGCACTTAATGGAACATAGATCACTTAATGAGGAAGGGGAGATTTGAGCTTCTGCATATGCATATAAACTACCCATCCAAGACACAAGTAATCAGGGAAAGACTCCTCAGCATAATTTTTTGCTCAAGAAAAATATCCTTTTGCAACACAGTACCTCTATACTGTTCAAACTTTCTTAACAGACAAAATACCAAGGTAGATACAAATTATATCCTCTTTTTTTTCTCTCACAGATGGGATAACACTTCTTTACATGCACTTCTAATTCGCATTGTATGATGGAAGAGGCTGACTCATCCTTACTTGGACTTCTCTTTTTCTTATGAGATTAAAACAAATGCTGATATTTATCCTGCTTCCTACACAGAAGCAATAATGAGGTGCAGTTGCCCTCTTGTATTAAACTTCCAGTTGGTGCTGATCCACTTCAAGCAGTGCAATATCAATTTAAATGGAGCAGGTCTATTGGAGGGGTACCCTATTCCACTTCAATGATGCACATGTAGTGGGGTCACATTCTCTGAATATGATGAAGCAAATGTACCTTTAAAAATGGCAGCTTACTCCCATCCTAGCATGATTCAGTCAGAATTAGATGCAAACCTCTTGATTTACCATCAAGGTTCTATATATGTACACCATTTTTAAATTTATTTCTATTTACCTACACCATACCCTGCAACAAGTGGTATATGCCATCAGCATACTCTTTTGGTTCAATGCAAAAAGGCATTTTTTGAGGTACCCTTTCCTAATCATGATGTAAGAAATAGGTGGTATACTTTGAAGGACAAATACAGAGTATGATGTGATCCACAGCATAACATTTTTTTAAATCCTAATCATTTACCAAGGATGAGGTGAAGAAAATTACTTGAGAGTCGAATCACATGTCAACTGAAAAACCAGATAAGACTTTCAGATGGGGATGACTGATAAGCAAGAAGCAATACAATTGAACTAACTTCCCTCATACACAGACCCTAACCTTCCAAATTTTTCCAAATCAAAGACATTATGCATTCATGAATTCACAGATTTTTGAAGCAGGGGCATCAGATCACCTATGGAAGGCATGTAGTAATCTGGAACCAAGTATTGCTCTGTAGGATTGGAAGAGTTCTCAAAGTCATGGAGTTCCTGTTCTGTTGTTACACCAGTGAGAACAAGCATTGTGGCTAAACCACAATTTTTTCCCATTAGAATATCTGTCTTCACACTGAAAAAGAAATAGAACAAGCAATTTACTGACTGAGCTTGCTAATGGACATTTGATTCCAGAGGGAACTCACTTGTCTCCTATCATTAACGTTCGCTTTGGATCAATATTATGATCATGTTGGATGGCTTCAAATATGTGAGTTGTTGGTTTCCCAAGGATAATAGGTTCCCTTGCAGATGCCACTTTGACAGATGCCAGAATTGATCCTGTACCTGGGAAACAGCAAGGAGGCTTATAAACTCTTCTTTGGAGGGGAATAAGAGGTATTGTAGCTTCTTGTGAATCCAATGCTACATTACAGATAGTTTCAGGTTTCACTCACCAGGAACTACAATTGGCGAAGTACTCATAGGAAAGCGCTCATCACTATTGCTGGCAATGAAGAGCACATCAGGACTTTGCAAATAACTTGCAGCTCTGAGAAGTTTTGCATAATCAAAATATGGGTCAAATCCCACCACAACAGCCTTCACATCAGGATCAAATTCCAGCCCAGCAACTTGTTCCAGAAACTCATTTGATGGTATAGGATCTGGCTATGGAACACCGTTCAAAAGATTAGAAGGCTCAGAGGAAACATATCTCAAGCAACAAATTCTAATGAGCACTTGAACATAAAGCTGATGAGGATCATATCTGTGCATTTCATTTCAAGAAAACTCTGAAATTTATTTATCTAATCTATACCTCCTGGGTCATCCTCACTTGGATAAGTTGGTAAAGAAAATCAAATCAACAGCTTCAGCCATTACAGCTGTTAAGTTCCAGTGATTCAGTCTCGACTACATATATGGAGAGGAAATCTTGAACATTCAATCAGTGGATGCAAGAGAAATGGAAAGTTGGCCAATATGCCTTGGCACTAATCAGAGTTAATTGGTTTTCCATGTGTCTGATAAAAAGAATATAAAAAATATGACTTAAGCAGATGAAAATAGCTGCTATAGCAGGTTTTTCAAGGATTATGCATATGACCTTGTTGATGATTCAAAACTCTATTTTTAGGCTATTCCTGAGTGGGAAATACTAGCCAACTTTTGAAAAGAGAAATTGGAATAATTGTAGCTAACAACCAATAATGATGCTATTAAAATTTCTGGATCAGTGCCACTGATGAAGCAGATTTAACTGACACCAGGTCAGGTGAAAATGTTTCATTTTCCTTTCCCTGATGTACATTTGAGCAGTAAATATTTATTTTCATGGGTCTGCTGCCAATGACAGTGATACATAAAATCAAATTGAAATGCTTAATAAACAAATCAATTACAATCCCTACCCTCCTTCCAGAAGCTTAGCTTCATTTGTGGAAAATGTTCCCTTTGGGGTAATCTCACATGAGTTATTGTAAAAGGGTTTGCAAAAAGCAGCATGAATGAAAATCCATTGCATTCATACTGAAAACAAAGCTGTAAAAATGAAAATAACCCTTTTATTCTTATATGTAGGCAGAGTAACAATGATCAATACAATGAGTAATAATAATAATAATAATAAAGTGGTATCTTTTCACTCAAAATTTTTAATTACTAAAAAATTTATTTGAGATGATTATTTCAAATCTGATATTTTTGCACTCCATGCTTGGCTCCTGGTTATATTCAAGCAGTGGGGAAATTGAAAGTATGAAAAATGTTTTTGCATCACTGACTAGTTACAACTAGGGATTTCTATGCTAATATGCAAGAAAATTGAGAAGACTTATCTCTCTGTCAAAAGATGCAGGAAAGTCATCTTACCAAGGTCATTTTTCAATTCATTAACTCTTTCAGCCCTGGCATTGTCTCTCCCTCAAGATTTATATACCAGAATTTGGTTGCAAAATAATGCTATACTTAAAGTATATACACTGTTTCCGGATTGAATTCATACCATCCCCCTATAGTAGTGAATGAAGGAAACACACATTTCCAGAAGTTTCGCCTCAGCAAATGATAGACAAAACCACCCATGTGTAAGATGTCACTACCTGCAATCGATGGAAGCGCTCCTATAGGGGGTACGAATTCAATCTGGAAACAGTGTAGGGCATGTCAATCAGCACAAAAGATACAAATGAAAGATATTGACCCCTTTGTAGTTGATTAAAAATTGGAGGCATCAGGATTGGGCATAGCAGATTCTAAACCAGACAGGAGCAAGATGAGTAGCCTATAAATCAGAGATAGGGTTAGAAAATGGGAATGATGACAGCAAGATGGTAAGAATCAATGAGCTGATTACTCTGGGTTGCATAACATGGGAAGTTTTGCTTGATAGGATTCCAAGTATGAGATAGTGCCAATATAGTTTCTAAACCCAGAAAGCAAAACTAAGTAGTATGGCTTTAAACCTACCCTCCATTACTATAGAATGAAGACATCAATTACTTCATCTGCTATGAAACTTGCATATTCTCTGGGGTAATTACTTTGTAGATGCCTTGATAGTCTTGTTCCAGAGTCATTACATGCAGAAGTCACCCACAGAGCTCCTGAATAATTCTACCATAGAACTCCTCAATCACAAGTATGAGACTGTAAATAGCAAATATTAACCTAAATCAACTTCAGATCTAACAGCATCACTTGAAATGCAAATTTTTACCTGTCAGGCTAAATGAACCCTCACCATTGTTACAAGACTTACCAGATACCACAAATTTGTAAAACAAGTTAATCATCAATTTGATCATGTATTTTCTCTTCAAATATCCCAACATCATACAAATACCTTGCTCTGACCACTCTGACCACTCTCATACATAGGCTGCAACTCTGGAAAAAGTCTTGCTCACATCATATCCAGGCATGCTTCCCCTTCATCTTCCCTCTTGACTCTCGCCCTTATATTCACATCGCTAATAAGCTCCCTATGCTCAATTGTCCTTTGTTTTGTGTAGTGAAAGACTTTTGTGTCCTTTGGTTGAAGCAAAGTAGAAGCAGGGAATTAATTATGATGTGAGTGACCCAATTGTTCAGAGACATGTTCAGCAAACAGAAGGTTCAGGAGAAAGTCACATAAATGTATGGGGATTTAGGTAATTTTTACTGCATTTTCTTGATCATGCATAGACAACTCTAACAGACAGAGCATGAGAAAGATGGAAATTGAAAATATTATCATGTAAGCAGTAGCCTTTAGGCGCAATATCAGGGTATTATGATATTTAGATAAAAAAGATACTCTGCATAGATAACTTACTCCAACACCCATGCTGCTGATCCCAACTGCAGTCAACTCAGTTGATATTCCAGAGCTACCAATGATGTACACTGACCCCTTGAAGCTGTGATTCTTCAGGTAGCTGGCAATCAATGGAGCTGTTCCATATATTGAATCCTACAATATGAAAAGAAATATATACTAATATTGGAGATGATGGTAGCAAACTGTTTTCAGATTGAATTTATACTCCCAATAGGAGTACTTCCATCAGTTGCAGGTAGTAACACCTTCTCAAGGATGGTTTTTGGATCATTTGAGGAAGCAAATCCTCTGGAAGCAATGCTTTCTCTGTTATCCTCTACCCAGGGAGGGTACATATTCAATCTGAAAACAGTGTATTACTGAAAAAGCAAAAGCATTTGTATAAGCAGAACATTTTTTATTCCAGCACCACGTCAGGGCTCAGTATATGCAGCTAGTATCAATTCATTTCCATTGATTGCATCCCATTTCAATCTCTTCCTCTCCTTCCTTCCATTCTGATATATGACACAGAACTCATAAATTCAAACATAAAAAAAACAAATGGAGTCCTTATTGCAATTGCCTAACTAACCAGTACATGACATATTTACTAATGGAATGCAATATTGATGTTCTGAAAGCCCAGACCTCTCAACAACAACAAAAAACTCATGCAGAGTTCCTCATTATGACTTAATAGTCCCAGTTCTCCTGAAACTCAAACTTTGTGAATGTGGTCTAGGGCTGGTTGGAATACAGAGACAGATTGAAAAGAATGTTTAATCAATGGGAATATATTGTTGATGACCTGAAAAAAAGGAAAAAACATGCAATTTTGACATTTTCAGGAGAGATAAAAAATTCACCTGTTTTCAAATTGCAGGATAAGAATTGAGGAATGATTAACTTCACCCCAAAAAGCACAGAGTGTCAGCTCTCTAGTGTAAAGGCAAACATTTTTCAAAAATCATTTTTCAGGCTGAAGAATTGGGGAATACCAGCTCTTGTGGAAATTTTCAAAATTTCATATTTGTTCTTTTCTCAGATCAACAGTCATGCTGTATAGCATCAAATCATATATTGTCAAGTATAACATCAGCTAAAACTAATGAAATAGCATTATTGAGACTCTGATTACTTGATTGTGGCATTCTACCCATATGTATCACTTCCTGGTCCTTCCCATTCATTATAAATTAATCCAAGAATGATGAATGGATAATAACTAGGATGCAGTAATCCAGGTGGACATAATGCCAATTCTATCCTATTGGAATCAGCCAATACTGACATATATAAACAACAATATCCAAGGACAAAGATGCAGTGTGATACTCATTTGAAAAATGGAATACACTGTTTTTGGATTGAATTTGTATCTCCTCCCCTGTATCATGGTAACCAGTTAACATGCACATTGTGATTTTCTATGGCCTTTACCATGGAGTTGTTCCAATCTGGAAATACTGTAGGAGCACTTCCATTAATTGCAGGTAGTGACACCTCAAGGGTGATTTTTTGGGCTCCATGTCACTTCTTCAATGGATGCTTCTTCAACTGGACACTTCTTTGAAAGGCTTTCATCTAAATTTCTGGTTGAAGAAGCGTCCAGTCGAATAAGCATCACGTCAAAGAAGTGCCCATCAAGGAAGTGTCTTTTGAAAAAGTGACATGGAACCATTTTTTGGACCATCTGATGAAGCAATATTCTTGAAGTAGAGCTTTCTATATTCTTCACTACCCAGGAAAGATAATAACTCAATTCAAAACAGCATTGCAGCAGACTTTCCATTTGTTGGATGTGCCACCAGCATTGACCCTTCAAACACTGAGTTTTGACCTGACCTCCTAAGCGATGAACTTACAGTGTACATGAAAACTGCTTGAAGGGTTAACAAAGGGAAAGCATCTGTAGGTCATGGTGATTCACATAGGTCAATACAGTATCCAGTAATGTGATTTCACTGGTGTCACAGAAAGTATTCTTTCAGAAGACTAAAATCAAAGAATAGATCAATCTGTAAGCTTAACTGAGACATGCACTGATATTCAGCTTTTGTGACTATATTATCTTTGTCTACAATTTGCTGGTCACAGGAGCTTAATATTCCTGGTCTTATAATCATCTCAATATCAAGATATTAGATAAATTCCAGCATCATGAACCATGCATATATACTGCCACAGTATAAGATCATTTACAAATTTTTCTATCTATGAGAGAAACAAGAAAATGAAGGCTGGGCTTTTGACATGAATATGGGATGAAACACCATCTATCAAGTGTTTTACCTCCTCTTAACAAAGCACATTCATGCATTAGTTAAATATTGGTATCAGCCAAGTTGCTGACAATGCTGATATGCATGAAATGAGACAGTACCAGATGCTTAGTACTGTATTTGGTCATCACAGAAGAGGGTCTTAAGCCTACCTTTTCTACTGGGAATCCAAGACTGGAACATTTTTCAGCATATTCCTGTCTGCTGCGAATGCTATTATTTGTCACCAAGAAGATTTTCTTATTCATAGACTTCAAAGTGCTGATGACTTCTGAAGCTCCAGGAATAGGATTTTGCTCCTCCCATAAAACACCTAATCAAAAAGAGACATAATGATCAACAGCAAACAAAATAATTTTTATTGAGGCAAATAGCATGGTTCCTGGGTATTGCAACAAGTGAACTGGACAAATCACTTTTTTTCATTCATTTTCTTGGTCACCCATCCAAGCTTCAAGCACTGCAAGAATGTATTTTTATTGCACTATATTAAATTTAAGTGAAATTTTTTGTGGCGATTAAAACAAGAAGAGATTAAGCTTTCCATTGTGGGAGATTGCACAAAAATCAATGAACTCAGGAGCATTTAATTTATATTAGCAAATTTCAGACATGTTGGAGAACCACTGCAAGCAGGCTAAATAAGAGATTCTAACAATGCAAGCACTCAAAGAAATAAGTGATCCACAAGTGTACTGCCAAGAGACTCTTCATTATTGCTGGTTCTGAGGCATTTATTAGATGAAAATGCCACAGTATTCATTAAATGAAAGAATATTATGGGTGACCCATCTTATAATCTCATTTTGCACCCATCCTTCAGTGATGGTGTGTAAAATTCTTCAAGTCTAATATTCACTCTTCTATATCTCACTTAAGAAATAGTCAATTTTCATGTAGTTTTTCAGCTTAATCTCCTAATCTTAATCTCTTCTCTTTCTATCTGTCAAAAATACTTTTTCATGTCTAATATAATGCTAGAAAATCCATTATTATAGTGTTAACATTTTTTTAAACACCCTGTACTAGTAGTTCGAGCAGATCCAGGAGTCTCTTCCTCTGCAATCCTGAGCAATGGATTCCTCTGCAATTCTGCGATCCTGAGCAATGGACTCATGCTCAGAAAGCAATATGCTGAAAAATGATGTAAGAAAGTTTTCAACCATAACCACTCCATGTCTTTCTAGGCCTGGTCATAGGACTTCTGCCTATCATCTTGGATCAATACATTTTTTGGGAGTCCCTCAAGGGGCATGTGGAAGACATGTCCAACAACAGGACTCTTGATCTGAAAAATAGCTGCTCAATCCAAACATCATGGGCTTCTGTGCTATTTTCCTTTACTCTTTGGAGACTTGAAAAAGTGATTTGGAAAAGGGAAAGACCAACCCCTATGACATATAGCTATGAGAAGGAAGGGTTGGTGCAACAGGGCCATCTGGAGTTTGGAGGTCCTGACCCTAGCTAATGGTCCACACATCCTAATAGTAATGAGCATCTAACTACAGCTGGAGTGAACCTAATATTCTTAATAAGACAGAAATACTTTATTGTAATCTCATTTTAATTGGTATTCCATGCAAGGATATTGGGAGAAAACACAAAGGAGAGCAAAAGAATGAGGCAAACCTCTGCAGACTCATGTCTCAATCACTAATGTGCAGGATGGAAGGTGTTCATGTCAAGTGACACATTAGACAGAATAGATAGATATTGAAGATGGGTAATGGGGCTGACCTGAATATGAGACAGGCAATAAACTAGCTCAAATAAGAGAATGTAACACAAGCCTGAAGTGGCTGATATAAAAACGCTAAGACTGCTCTCACAACGGCAAGTCATGAATGACTTCCGAATACCATTTGCACTGGGTGCCTTCTACATCTTCAGACATACCTCTGCCTTTTGGTCCCCATCATACAAAGGCTTTCATGGATATCAGCACTTTGCATCCCATCATGATTTGTGATTCATGATATATGGTGCCAAAACATTTTCTATATCAGATCTCAATCACTGATCACTGCAGGTACAATCCTGCCCTAAATAGAGGGTGACTAGGAAGTAGAAGAGAGTAACTGCCATACATACCTCAAGTGACACATCAAGCAAAAAGCCAATTGTATTGTCACCAAAAGCCACATGTAACACCAGTGGTTTGAATTCCTAAAAGAATCCAAATAATCCTAGGCAAGTGCAATGTTCTCAGTCACAAGCATGTGCAAATCTAATGCCACTATTATATGGGAAAGTCTTAGCACAGCTAGTGATAGCCAATGGCAACCAATTTTAACTGGGATTTGCAGAAGAAGAAAGTCTGAGATTTGGTTTGATATATTAACCCTTTGACTGCCAAGGATTTAAATGCCCTGCTTATCTCTCCTTGCCAAGCATGGCAGTGGAGGTTAGTCGGGCTGAATGCACCATGCTGTGAATGGCAGCGAAAGGGTTAACAAAACACAACAGGAAAGGAGTTCTAGAGGACAGACATGAGTGATGGAATTGATTGATTAGGATATACAAGATGGTGCAAAAAAAAAGAGAGTCCTGTTTGATGGCTTATAAAACCCACTGTGGATCATCTAGGTTCATTATATTTTTGTGTCACATTGAAAACGCAACAAAATTTTTTCCCTGAAAGTTTCATGCTTCTAGGTTGTCTGAATATGGGACAGTCATTCAAAGTGGGGTCATAAAATGAACCTTTTCCACACTTGAGGTTGATGAAGTTTCAGCAATGCTCAAATGACTTCTCTCCCTTGATGCTGTAAAGGTTGCTTTTTGTAGCTTGTCCTCATTGTAGTATTCTATGTGGTATTGATCTAGATGATCCACAGCAGGTTTTATAGTGCGAAATAGGATGCTTTTTTTGTGTCACCTGACAATGGACCTGGCTGCCATGAATCACAGATAAAATGAGTTTTAACCCTTTAACCCTGTAATGTCTAAGATATTTTTCTAATATTCAAGCCCAGAGAAGTGTCAAAGGAACCCAATCTCATGAACCTCATATACACCCAGTCAGAGCTCTTTATTGGCATCATAGGCTTCAGTGAGCCCAATAGGTCTAGAACTCATTATAACTAGTAATAATGGTATTAATAAACCAACCATGTTAACAAAGACCTGTGCTTACAGTAAGAAGCCATTGGCTAGGTATACTCAGGTGACTCTCCAGGAGTTTGAGAGGGCTATTTTCATCTTGGCAGCTTATTAACCCCTTCCCTGGGTATGAAAAGTACACTCATCACAGCCATTCTCCCATATGATGCAAATGACAAGTCATTCAACACGATGGGATATCAGTCCCTCTTAACTGGTGGGTTTGGCATTCATGGAACATTATTTACATTGAATAAAAAAGAGTTAAATGAAGTTCCATGGCATATGTGAGTTGCTGCAGAAAAAACTACACAACCAGCTTGCTACCACAGCACAGAAACTACCCAGAAAAGTGATTAATAGCAACCAACTTGGCCTGCATGACTCATAGGCTAAGCCAAGGCTATCCTAGGCCTAGCCTAAGCCTACTACTACAGGCCTACTATATTTCTCTTCCTTACCATCACAATCTGAGAGGATGTTGTCAAACTTCGAGAAGAAATCTTTGGCAGTGACTTCATTCAGATGAACAGCCTTTTGCATCATGCTTGCCATCACAGGGTCCTGTTATGCTATGATATCCAGTAAGTCTGAAGATGGCAAATTGTTCTCTTTTATATGCTCCTGCTATACACAATATATAAAAAATACATTAAACCTGGTATGTTTACTTTCAATAGGCATCACCTTTAACCCTGTAATGTCTAAGATATTTTTCTAATATTCAAGCCCAGAGAAGTGTCAAAGGAACCCAATCTCATGAACCTCATGGCTATTTTTCTTTCAATTATTTTCAGCTGAATCTCAAACAATAGGGAAACACAATGGTTGAGTATTATATATAAAAAAAAGGGCCATGAAAAGCTGGATTTTTCCCTAGATACAGCCAGTAGCTATATTATATATACACTGTTTTCAGATTGAATTTTTACCCCCTATAGCTTCCATCGATTGCAGGTAGTGACATCTTACACATGGGTGGTTTTGTCTATCGCCTGCTGAGGCAAAACCTCTGGAAATGTGTGTTTCCTTCATTCACCACTATAGGGGGATGGTAGGAATTCAATCCAGAAATAGTGTAATATAGTTATTGGCTGTAGAGTATTTTTTTTAGTACATTTGTATAATATACTTTCCATTGATTTGGCATTCAAAAGAGGCATGATGTTTTTATATTTCAAAATGATTTGATGTGAACGCATTTGTTATATTGTCAGAGTTACCAAAGAAATGGTGTTTGAGGTGATCCCACACATCTATTGGGTTGGGGATTAGATATTTGCAAGGAAACTAGGACAGTTCCTTTACACTTCCAGATGACATTACACTTCATGATGCTGATGAAATGCTCGACATTAAAAAAGTGGACCCATACCAAAAAAAAATCGAGACTGTTCCGTGATCGAGTCTCAGCTTCGACAACCAAGACTGTCAAACAGAGACAATTGATCACCATACTATTAGGTGATAGGGTTAACATCGGTCCGCGT